ACACACACACACACACACACACACACATATATATATATATATATATTACAAGTTAAAAACAGGAGTGGGAAGTGGGAATCATAATTACTAGTTAAAAGACATTTGTTACCAAGGTGGGGAAAGAGATGTAAAAGGTGAATGGTGAAATTCCAAGCAAAGACAGCAAAATATTCATATTTATTATAAGCTGAATAATAGTTACATAAATCTCTATATCTCATTCACTGTGCTTTTCTGCACATGTAACTTAGTTTCTAATCGGAAAAAAGCAGAAAAGCTCTTCCAGCCTTCAACACAAGGCTGCTCTTGTGTTACAGATGTCTCTTATCCCTTTAAGTCTTTAGTTTGCAGGCATGAACTAATCTTGTGTATTTCTTTTTTTCCTTTTCTTTTCTGAAATGCCTTCCTATAGGCAAAGGAAAAGGACTTCAAGCATTTTCATTCCGTGGTTTATATCAATGCTTCAGAAAATCTGCTGCCACTAGGTGAGCATTTTCTACTTGAAACTGTCATCTGCCTCCTGGCAGCACAGTCAGTCGCTTGTGTTCCAATTTGTCTGTTTACCCATCCAGGGTCTGTACTGCAGCGTGCATCAGGCTGCGGGCTGGAGAGCAATCAGCCCTGCAGCCCCGCGGTGATGCTATCTACTTAGCACCTTTCTCCGTGAGCTCCTGCTTCTTTCTGTGAAAATAGGGCCATTCCCTTCTACCTCCACTTGCAGGCTACTTCTTTTTTTTTTTTTTTTTTTTTTTTGTGGTACCCAGGATTGAACTCAGGACCTTGTGCTTGCCAGGCAAGCACTTATTTTACTGAGCTATCTCCCCAGCCCTTGTAGGCTGCTTTGCAGATGCAGATGAGATAGATGCTTAAGTGTATGAACAGTCCTAGAGGTGCAGGAAGCCTTCTTAGTTTTTCAGCAAATTCACAGTGCCCCCTGTTGGTTTTTTGGCTGTATGACAACTTGGCCTTAAAGTGTCCAGTTCTTGCTCTGGTGAGTTTGTGATTTGGTGGGAAGTAGTAAAGCAGGCAAAGACAGAGTAAACAGTAATAGAGGGAATTGAGGAAAGCCTAAGCATATAAGTAGGACTTCAACATGTGCCAGGGAGTCAGGAGGAACTTGTGAGTAGAGAAACACCTAAGCTAACACCAGCAAATGAATAGAGGTGAGTGTGATGGACTATGCCTGTGATTCCAGCATTCAGGAAGCTGAGGCAGGCTAGCCTGGACTACATAGTGAATCCATATTTCGGAAAGAAAGAAAGAAGATAGAATAGAAATAAGGAAGTAGAAGGTAGGAAGGCATTTCAGGGCAACAGAACAGATGCAGAACTACGGTACCTGGCTAGGGAGAAAGAAGAGCCTTGGTGTTTTTACAAGACATTTATGTGAGGGAGAATTCAGACTAAAGGAGGCACGGCCTCAATCTACAAGGGCTTTATGTGACTTGAATATAATCTGGCAGTCAAAAGACAACTTTGAAAGACTTTTAAATAGAGGAACAACTGACACAGGGATCCATTGAAAGAGAAGACGGTGGGAGCCAGGCTACTAGGAGGTGGTTTCAGTTTTCTAGGGAGTAGATGATGCCTGAGCAGGGTTGTAGAGCAGGTTGCCTGAGCAGGTTGTAGCAGAGTGAAAGAGATTAAAAGAGATTCGGCAGGAGGAAGAAATCACAGGACTGAGCAACCTGTGAGACTGTTGGGAAAGGGAAGAACAGAGAGAAAACTCACTAAAATAAGACACTTGAGGAAGCAGGGCAGGCGGGAAATTGATGTGTTTTGTTGAATTGAGTCTAATAGGTATTTTTGAAAAAGCATCTGGTATATGTGGCCTTTCAGGAGTATTGGCTTGATCTACAAAGGCCAGTAGGTGTCTGAAAAGATGCTCAGCATCATTGATCCTTAGAGCAGCTCCAAGATAGTATTTTGTACATCCCAAATATTGGCAAAAATGGAGAAGAGTGATGATGTCCCACATTCATATGGAGGTGGATACTCTGTGTTTAACTGATGGAAATAGGATAAATTAGTGTATGAAATCTTGGAAGTCATTTTGACATTGTCCTTCAAGACATAAAATACTCATTATAATCCAGTAGTTCTACTTCTAGGAACTTACTTGGTGGAAACACTCTTGTACAAGAAAGTTCATTGGAAACATCCTGAGATGCCCAGGCCTGAAACAGTCTTTCATGAGATTTTGTTGAGCATTCTGACTCAAGCCTGCCATAGCCACACCGCACACCAGGTTCTCTTAGAAGGCTCCCAGTTATTCCACACAGGGTCCCAGAGGTATTGCGTCTCTTTAGAGGCGTCCTCACTGCCATTCGTGAGTCATTCTCTTGAGCCCCTCCACATTTGTCACCTCAGATCCAAGACAGTATGACTCCTAATAGGGTAGATATAGGAGCCACCCTAGCTTTGAAACCTCATTACCCGCTAGAGAAGCGCAGCTCCTAGAGTTCCCATGAAGGATGCATTTCATTAAAGCAATCAGAGCATACCAGGGAACGCCCCCTTCAATTGTTTATAATTTATTTATAATTTTCCCCTATCTGAGATATAACTTACTAATCTGGGTCATTTTTTACCACAAGCAATATTTTTTTGATAATACAGTTGCCATTGCACTTGTTCCTGGTTACCAAGGAAACAGGTCTAAAAAAGGTTACCCAAAGACCAGTTGTCATGCAGAGGGGAAAATATTTGATTACCTTTTACCCACATTGCCTATGAGCTACCAATAGGGAAATGAATAAATGAAGGATGGCTATGCCGTAGAACGTAATTAAGATATTAGATCTATCTGCTTTTAACATGGAATAATTTTCATGCTATAATACTAGGGGTAAAAAATCATAACACAATATATATATATATAGATTACACTGGGAATTGAACCCAGGGCCCTCACACGTTGCCCTAACTAGACTAAAACTTATAATCCTCCTGCCTCAGCCTCCAAGAGTGCTACAAACACAGCCATACACCACCATATCTGTCATTCCATTTTTTCAAAAAGAAGTATGTGTATTTTAATAGGAAAATATTTGTAATGTTATACATTAAATGTTTAATAGTTGTTTTGGGTTATTGGTATTAATGTTGAACTTTTTTGGTGAGCATGGTTATTTTCTATAATCAAAAATAATAAAGATGGGATGGGTGTATAGCTCAGTGGTAAAGTATTTGTCTAACATGTTTAAGCTCTGAGTTTAATCTCTGGATGTCTAGAAGAGGTAGGGAGAAGAGGGAAAAGGAGAAGAAACAAAGAAGGAAAGGGAGAACAAGAGGGAAAGGGGGAGAGAGGAGGTAGAACTGATAACAGAAATATTTCAAATGGGCTTTATACTTGGACCAACTTAGATTTAATTCTTGGTTCTTCTACTTACCCACATTTCCATTTCTAGAAAATCACTTAGCCTGGCTGAACTACCATTTCTTCTGCTATAGTAGTGGTGATTCCTATTTTTGAGTGCTTTTAGAGATTTAGATCTATGTATGTAACACACCTTCCCACAGTGCCTGGCCTGACCCTGTAGGGACCCAGTGAATGGTCATTGTTAATATTTTAAATTCTTTATGAGCTGCTGACTGTTTCTTCCTTTTTCCCATGTAGAGGTATTTCATACATTTCCAGCCTTAAAGGAACTGGAGCTGGCATTTAATGGCATCAAGACAATCTACGTGAAATATGGAGACTTTAAGTTATTGGAAGTAAGTTGGAGGTAGGGAATTTGGGGTGCCCACCTGTTCACCTTTAGTAATGAGTTTGGAGTTCCCTACTGAGTCTAACTTTTAAGAAAGTCTCTCAGCCTCTTCAGCCAGGCCATTGCTTCATCTTTGGTCCTTGGGAGAGCAGTGGGTGTGGTGGTGGTGGTGGTGGTGGTGGTGGTGGTGGTGGTAGTGGGGTTGGGGTGATAATAGCAAAGGTAGTGGTGGTGGGTGATGATGGTGATGGTGGTCATGGTTGCAAATTGATGACATCTTTGGCCATGGTACATCATGGGAAAGGAATGCCAAGGATCATTTGTGTTCAAGAGAATCTATATGGAAGAATGAGTTTAGACAGACTATCTTAGGAGGAAGAGCTTGAGGGGCACTCTGGATCCAGTAAGCATGGGGAGCCTTAGAGATTAAAAGCAAGGTGCAGCAGACCAAACCAGCAAAACCAAAGGCATTATGAACAGACTTCAAAGACCAGGCATGGTCTGAATTAGTTGGATCAGTCCAGGGGGGAGGGGTAGCACAGACCATAGTCCTGGCCCATGGCCCCAGAGATACGGATGAAACAAAATAGGGCTTCCATGAATTCTATAGCAGACTCTCATATATTCGCATCCACAACTGTTCTCCAAGCCCTATACTTTGTAATTCATAAAAGTTTGCTTACATTTTAGGCTTGCTTCTCAATTAAATATTGATATAGTTCTACATTTCCTATGCATGTCCTCATACTTCTACCTAATTACTTCTTCAACTTTCATGAAGATTTGCTAGCCACTTTTGTCAAAAGAATAAAGCTTGTGGGCCATGAGAATGCTCAGCGATCTAAAGCTACTGCTTAAGCAAGCTTAGGCAAGTGTGCAGGGACCGCACTTCCATCCCTGGCACCACATGCTGTGCCAGCCCCTTCCCCAGGGTGGATTGAGCTAGCCACTCACAAGCAAATGCACACACACACACACACACACACACCGAATAAAGATTGTGTCACAACCTGAGAGTCACTGTGTACGTGGAGAGTAGAGAACAAAAGGGAGAGTCTGGAGTGGGGATGGCACCTGCCAGACTCTTTCCCACTATACAGTGGACTCCCCCACATGTTGGCCTTATGATAAGGCAGTGCCAGTCCTCACCTTAGCCAAGTGTCTGTGTGTCATGAGCCTTGGGATTGGTCTCACAGAGCTGGTAACTTTTTTTCTAATAGGTTTATTTATTTATTTTAAATATGTTTGTTTTTAAAGAATACAAAATAGCAATATGAAAAACAGTAATAGAAATGACATAAAATTTCACTAAACAAAGTAACAGGAATTCAACAGTGGTTGCTGTATTGCATTTTATCTTCAAATTAGTTGTTAAGGTTACTAGACATAACTGTTCAAAATTGGTTTAAAACAAAACAAAAAAACTGCCAAAAAAGTTATGGGAAATTAAAAAGAAATAAAATAAGAACAATAAGAAAAAAAATAAGTATTAACTGCTCCTTTCAAAACACCAGCAGAAATTAGCAGTAAAATTATCCAAATTATCTGCTTAAATGACTTAATCTGTAGGCACCAAGGGTCAGCCATCCTTCATACAAGCTTCACTTAACTTGGCCTTTTCAGGAAGAGAAACCTTCCACAAGGCTTGAACTTTTTGAGAGTTAGTGGCTGAGAGAGTTTATATGCCACTTTAAAAACTTTTTAGCTTCTTGAAATGACCTAAAATAGACTTTATCTTTGCATTCTTAAAGAATGCTATATTGAACATAATGCTAACTTTTCCTGTGATTTTGAGTCACATTGAAGAAAACAGAAATTTACTATGATTTGGGACAGAAATGGTCTCCAGACTTGTCCCAGAAGCAAAGCTCTTCAGAGTCCAATAAAATTGAGGTAGAGTAAATTTACAAGAACTGGTGGACTTTGGCATTATGTTTAAGAAACATTTTGTAGTAGATTTTATGCAGACGGTGGGAAATGGTCCGAGATGCTCTAGCCACGTAAGGGGCTGTTTCCCTGACCTTCGGGCCTAAGAGCCTCTTAAGAACTCTTACTTATTTGTTCTTTTATTTTTTTCAGAGAGTAGCCATTGAAATCTGCGTGCTGTGCATTGTGCCAAGTATCTTGTCTTCTCTCCACTATCATTCCAAATCCCATTGGCCATGGCCACAGGCCCTGTCCCCACAGCTGACCAGCTTAGATTTAAGAGTTGATGATGGTTGATTTTTTGGATATCCTACTTTATAGTTTGATAGCATCTGATGATGATTATTTAATTATTTATCCAGTAGCCTCAGCTTTACCCAAGGGAATGTATTTACAAAAGAGAACAGAATAAATTTAGGATGCCAAATATAAATGAGAAAAGGACATCTCTGGACTAGTCATTTGTTTCCATTTCTCCTATGATTTGCAAAGATTCCCTAACAAAAAGGATAAACCTGTCAAATATTCTGAATTTGTAGTTCACAGTAATGAATACTTTGATGTGTAATAAAACTTGATGTGACTCAGCAGATATAGTGGCCAGGTTAGAAATCTTCTGTCCTTGTTTGTCAGAAAGAGTGTCCAAGAGGGAACGGTCCAGAATATAATTATTCAGGGATCAATGTAGAAAAACTTAACTTTATATGATTTCCATCTCTACTTATAAATTTGAAAAATGTTTAACCAGAAAGCTCTCCTGGCAGTCAGAAGATAAGAAGATATCCTGGTTTCTAGTCTTGGTATGCCTCCTGGGACAAATACTTGCCCTCTGTGGGACATAAGTCTTCCCTTCTGAATACCGGACCAGCTCCTACGTTCCATGGCCTGTGATTCTAAAATTATTCATTTCTTTGAGCTGCCCTTAATTGCATGGAAAGCAAATTTGAACCTAACTTTAAGTAGCCAGAGCAGCTAGAACAGAGGTCTATAAGCTTTTTCTATAGGAGTTCAGATAGTAAATATTTTAAACTTTGTTGTCCATGTAATTATAACTATCATAACTCATAACTATAGCTCTGCTATCATAGAAGGAAAGTAGCCATAAATAATATAAAGACAAAATGAGCGTGGCTGTCTTTCAGTAAACTTTTACTTATGATGCTAAAATTGGAATTTCACATAATTTCCATGTGTAACACATTCTTTTTCAAATTTTTTGAATGCAGAAATCATTCTTAGCTGATGGGCTACACACACAGACATTTGTAAGACTTGCCACCTACTGAGCCTGAACATGATAAAGCTCGGAGCGTGGCTGGAATGGAGAGTGAGCACGTCCAGGGGAGGAATATGAGCTTAGAATGGTGGCAGCAGAGATTGGGAGAACCTTGGAAACCTTGCTCATGAGCTTACACTTACGGGATCCACTGAAGGGTTTTAAGACAAGAAGGGGTACAGCTAGGATGATATTTTAGGAAAACCATTTTTTATATTTATTTTTTTATTGAGAAATAAATATGAATGAGACAGTTTCACAGCTGATTAATAGGACAGTTTTGATAGTCAATACACCGTACATTGTTATCTTCTTAGTGGTTATCCAGAGTACAAGAAGCAGACAGGATATTCTGTCCAAATACTGTTAGTACACTTTTTTCTTCTCACTGAATTAAGCGAAAGTAGCTGTAAATTTATCCTAACTATTTTGTATA